GAATTTGGGATTCATACTTAGCAGACTTTAGGTGCTCTTGCCACAAAAAATGCCAAATAATGGACAATTATGTAAGATAATAAATGTTTGTCTTCTTGTCATTAGTAACTTTTTTATCTATGTACATAATTAAAAAAACTTTGAAGAAGTGAAAATATTTTTAAATTAAGTAATTACAAAAATAAATGTTGTGCTACCCTCAATTTTTGACTAGCTGTTGTGGATTAAGAAGTGGTGGTCAACTAACGCCAGCGGGATTATATCAGCATGGCATTGAGCGAAGATGCTCCACCTGAGGAAAGTTGCCAGGATAAATTGGTGGAGAAGAAAGGAGGTGTTGAGGGTTGAGGCATTAAGGAGGCATTGTGGATTCTCCTACGAGTTGCTGTCTGAGATGTTGGTTCTCCTGGAGAAGCTTAGGTCCTCACATCGAGCATTGCTTCCTGGCTCTGGAGGGGAAGACATGTACTGCCTGGTCTCCAGGATGAATTCGCCATGCTGCTTCCTGGCATGTACCCGACTGTGCTTGTTGTCAGAGGAGCTCGGGGCCTCCGTGTTGCTGAGGACAGCTGTGGTGCCTTTCAGGATAGCCCTGGTCTTTGTTGTGAGTGTGACTTCTCAGCTGCAGCGTAGAACCCTCATCCCACTAGCACAGCTCCTTCATCCTGCTGGCATAGACTTTCTGGCTTCCACCGCTAACCCTGGGTCTTCCCGGCACGGATCCGTAAAAGAGACTGGTGTGAGTCCCTTCTGTGGGCTCTGGACCTTCAGTTGGACTCGTGGAGGCATTGTCCTGAGCTCTGGATTTTTATCTGGACTCGTGGGACATTGCTGTGGGGTTTAGGCTCTTAACTAAATAATCTATGTCTTTGGTGTTGTGGATAGATATCCTGCATTTTCCTGTGTTAACTTCCGGTAACCACTATAAAAATACTATAAACTCCGTGTCCTAATCCTAATTGTTCTCTGTGCGCCGGCCCTGACTACAACACTAGCGATACCTATTTTCCATTTACAACACAAAATTTTTTCCTCTTAAAATAATTATAATTAAAATTATTGTGAGAAATGAATTGATGTATAAAGGTTGTTGACAACTGCTATGACTTTATACTCATTATCTGTGGTCATATAATAAACTAGTGCACAAGTCAGTGACTAGAGCAAGGATGAGTATATTTGTCTTTCGCAACAGCTGCAGGCTCGGGCTTTGGGAAGATTCTAGCTCAAGGTCTCTCACAAGTCATCAAACAACACTGGCAATTGGCAAGCTTGCCTGGGGTGAAGGGTCTGCTTCCCAGTCGGTTCAACCATGTGGCCCATGAGTTGGTGATGGCTGTCCCTGCTCATATTGGTCTCTCCACAGTTCTTGAGTATCCTTATGGCTTGGTAGTTTGTGTAGCAACAAAGCACACAATCTGAGAGGTGAAGTGGAAGTGGCAATGACTTTTATAACCTATTGTCCTATATAAACCTGCTCAATTCAGTGTGAAAGAAGACTATGAGAGAGAGAGAGAAAGAAAGGACCATCTTAGACACCGACCATGCTGTGATCTACCACTGAGCACAAATGGAGAAATGTGAAGCCCAACAAGTAGGCATCAGAAAAGAAAAGCAATATAACCAAGCCCAGGAAAGATGTTTCTGTTGGTTAGTTGGTTGGTTGTTTGATTTGTTATTTGGTTGATTGGTTGGGTACAGCCAAGGAGTCCAGAGCTCCTGTTCCTGGGTCAGTTTTATTCTTATTATATTGCAAATACTGACACTAGCTTTGGACTCTCAAATATTTAGGAACACTCTGGCCCTTGCCCAGTACAAGACTTTCTCTCCTCTGGTGCTGTTGCAGCTTAACATTGGTTCTCAGACTTCCCACTTGGGCTTTGCTCCAGTAAACTGACCAATTCTGCAGAGGTTGTCTACCTTTAAGGTTGCAAACCAACTATCCTCAGGTTGTACTTAGCCCAGCTTTATGGCCTTACTTTTTGTGTTGAGTTGCTAATTAAATATTTCATGTAAAACCCAGATCTGGGCTTCTTTTGAAATAGTGGGAAATGTTGAAGTTACCAGTTATGTTTTTTTGCATGGTAACCCATGACTGGAGTTACGTTTAGCTACCTATGTTATTTCACTAAGCATAATCCTTACCACATCTCTGCTTTCTTAAATTTCTTTCTTACTCTCTATATGCTATTAGACTGACTACATTGGATTTAATCAGACACTCATTTACAGGAGAGTATATTGAGGCCATGATTATTGCTGAGTTTCAATCTATGAAATGATTTACTCCTGACTGCTTGTCTGGTCAATGATAGGGCAATGGCCGTGCTAAGTTTCTTTCCTACCTACACTGACACTCTTCCCAAAATACTTTTCCTCTTCTTTCACAAACAAGCTTCAAACTACAGTAAATTCTAGGCAGCAGCTAAGTTAATGTGATTCTCTTCCTTTCATGGCACTTTCAGCCTGAAAAGCGGTCTCATGTTACAGAGCAAACAAGCAATACCAAGGAAAAAGAAACGTAGATTTCGATTCCAACCCATTATCTCTTAGGAAGTGTTTGTGTCTCCATTCTAAAGGAAAGATAGCACATAAGAGATGAGACAGACACTGTGGTAACTACTATTAAGTCGGGTTATATGGTGCTGAATTACTAGGTTGCTGAAACAGTCATGATTTGACCTCTATTGTTATATTGTTATGTCCTGTTTTATCTCAATCTCCCCCTTATTGTTTTAAAAAAAATTATTTAGTCATTTCTTATGTTTGTCTTAATTAAAGAAAAAATTTAAAAAATTAGGATATATAAATAGTAACTCTTTATGATTTCCTATTTACTTGTTTTGAAGTCCTGTAGTACTCCCACGATCTTGTTTCGACTAATTAGACTCTGTTCCATTCTATATGATAGTATTAAGTTTGTGATTTGAGCAACTATTTTCAAGATGATAATATGTAATCTACTAACAGGTGATTTCTTACTGTTATGTTTTTGTTTTGTTTTGTTTTGTTTTGTTTTTTTGTAGTTCCGTATTACGTGTACCCTTACACCGCTTTGTTTTGTTTTGTGTTTTTCTCTTTTTCCTCTTAAATAAAAAAAAAAAAAAAGAGATGATAAATGGGCAAAATTAAAGCAGAAAGCAGTTTCATGTTCTGGGAAGTAAATGGTAACAATCTTCAAACATCACAGACTGTTTCAGCCCATCTGATTAGCAGTGGTCTTCATCTTTTAAAATTTATTATTTATTATTTATTATTTCTAAAAATAATTTATATTAAATCTTTCAAGGAAGTTTCTTGCTTCTCCATTTCCTGGCCTTTATGAAGTCACTGCCTTGGCCTACACATTAAAGGCGAATGTTTTAAGTAGATTGCATATAGAAAAGGATGAGGAGAAAGGGTGAGAGAGATTTTGGCATGGCAAAGGCTCCCTATAAGGGATGAGCTTGAAATCCAGGCTAAACAGCTGCTAAGGTGATCAATAAGCAGAACTCCGATTCTCTGGCACCAACTGGCTGCAGCCAAGACCATGGGCCTGTATCCAAATGCACTGAACCATATCTGCTTCAGAACACAAAGCGGCAGCTCTGTTTTCCCAGAATCCCTGAGCTCAGATCAGGTTCCCTGCTTCTGGTTTGCAAGCATAGAGCATAGGCAATGGCAAGAGACAAGAACCTATTCTGTTAGCCACCTTGAAGACACAAGCCATCCAGACCTGGAGACACTGTGTGCCCCTAGCTAGCGACACAACACTGAAGTACGGAGATAACTTTGTCACAGAGCATTTGAACCTTCTGATGCACCTCCTTTGGACCACATCAGTTCCACATCAGAATCCCATTACCTCCTCCTCCATCCCTCCATGAAGCTCAGAATTTTCACTATGCAATTTAAGACTGGGACTTAGTGTCCCTCACCTAGCTGGCAATGGGGCTAGGCGATGTATTTTTCTACCATGTCATATGAAAGTCAGGGCTCCTTCTGGACAGCAAGGAAGAAATAAAGTGAAAGAGAAAGTCACATCTTTTCTCATTTATAAAGTTTCTTAATATTTTCTGGGTGTTCGTGATATGCTATGTATGTGGTTAATGACTGAGTAGGCAAGATATACTCTCTACTTACAAAATTTCCAGTCTAGGACAAAAGAGTTGATTAAAAAAAAAATAGTTGCAAGGAAGCAGGTTAGGGCAAGTGCTATCATATGGGAAATGAGGGTGATGAATGAAAGCTCATGAAGCAAGGAATGAGGAAGAAGTGAGTGACATCAAGGGATGAGGAAGATCAAAAGGGTTAAACACAACAAGAGAGATAAGAATGTATCAGACAGAGAAAGAGCCCATGAGAAACATTGCTGGTGGAAGGAAGCAGAGTTGCCTCCAGGTATTTAAAAGCTGGTCCATACAAATATGGGACAGGGACCTGGTGGTTAATGTCTGGTAGTATATTTTTCACTTCATGTAAATTCTACACAGATAAAATAAAAACATACAAAAGGGGATGGCATGCAAAGAGTTGGAGTTTAGGGAAAACACTAATTTGCCAGTTAGGAAACAAAGGGGAAAATTCAGTGAAAGTGGCTTTGCTCCCAATCACGTTAATGATGTGTAGCAGTTGCAAAGAGAATACTCAAAACACATAGCTGGGCTCATACATATGATAAACACTTCTGTGAAGGAGAGAATGAAAAATCAAACAAATACACGATAGAGAATGGACTGAAACTACAGGCCTTCTGGACTCCCAGGTCAAAGCTGGCAAAAGCACCCAAGGTTTCTGCTCCTATGGAAAGGATGTAAAATAGTGTTCCTCCAACATGAAACAAAACTCATATCTGGAGTCAGGCTCCCCGATGAGAACAGAAGATGACTGAGATCTCCTGTTTGAGGACAGACTGAAAATTAAATGCTCCACTATCTGGGATGCAGAAACCTGGCAAAAGAGGCCAGCGTTTACAACCTAGCCCCATAGGCAAGAGTTAAGCTGAAGCAAGCCTTGTGTACCTTGTAAGCAGCCAGATCAAAATAGCCCAGCTATGTTCATGGAGCAGGAATCTTGAACGGTTGACATAAAACGTATCTCTGGAGATCAGACATGAGGTTCACTGGAGGAAAACAAATCTTCCAAAGAGGAACTGTTTCACATAAAACAAGACTCTTTAAATGTAAGATAGTCCTACAAAACAAAATTAAGGAACACGTTAAAAAGCTAATATTACAAAAAAAAATAAACTTCCAAACAGCAAAACCAAATTCAAATCCATAAGAAAATCAAGGTAAAAATAATAATCCATAAGTAAATCAACTATAAGCACAAGAAAATGTTACAACCTGACAAAATACTTTCATAAAGTAGTTTATAATTATTTAAAAGTAATGAATAATATGAAACTATAAATAAATGAAGTGATTAAATGAACAGTTGCTAAATAAGCAATTGTGTAGACTATGTACGTTACCACATTCAGAACAAAGAAATGGTTGAAGGAAACTCCAGTTTGATGACTTTGGCTTTTATTTATATAACTCTTATATGTAGTACTGTAATGACTAACAGCATATAAAACTACAGCATGGTACTCTACTGTACAGTGCTGTAAGCAAAACTTACAGTGCCTCTCTGGAGAAGAAACCACCATCAGGCTCACACCTGCTCATTTTCTCACGCTGTAAGTTCAAATGTGGGTGATGAGACTGAGCAGCCCATCACAAGTCTGAACAGTGTGCTTCGGTCATGAGTCCAGAGTCAGTAAACACACAGGTCGTTAAGCAAGTCCTGCTTTTCTGGTTGACCCCTTACTGACACAGCTGCTGCTTAAACTATTAATCAATGCCTTTTATGAGTCCTCTTCTCATAAGAATGCTTAAAACACAAGCTCCTTTGACTTATTTAATCGCAGATGCTTATCCAGCCTCATATCATAAGTTGACAGGCATAGAAAACACAACAGGAGTAAAACAAATACAAAGTATTCTTTTCCATGTTCAGAATCCTACACTTCTGAACCAGCTTCAATCCAGTCATTGACCGGCACTGCAATACACATTTGAGCTGTTCTATCAGGAGCACTGCTCTTGCTGTATGTACCCTTTATAATCTTACGTGGCTCCTGGGATGTCCTGCCGAATCACTTTCTTTGAACTTACATAACTCCTTTTTCCAACCATGAGGAAGTAAGACCCTGCAGACGTGCCTCTGATGGCTGTTTCCTGTCCCTGGCCCCTTCCCCACCATCTTGCTCTGCTTACTATTCTTCCTGTCTGCCATGAGGAGAGCAGCTTTCCTCTCCTGTGCTGTTTCCACTGTGATGGTTCTGCCTGGAGCCAGCCAACCAGAGGATGAAACTGCTGAAAAGGTGATCAAAGCTAAACCTTTCTTTTCTCTCCTCCTCTCTCTCTTCCCTTTCTTCTCTCTCTCCCTCATTTTGCTCTCTATACATATACAGTGATACAGCTGTTGTCAAATGGCTGCAAGCTTGAACTTTCTGATACTCACAGAGCAAAGTTTGAAAAAAAAAAACTGTACTCTGTGTTCATAACTTTGCTCAATGGCCACACTCAACATCAGACATGGAAAAACCTGTGCAGGCTAAGATGAGTCGCATGCTGCATCTCCCCACAGACATAAAGAGGTGAGGCTTTGATCTAAGAGCCACTCTCACCCAGACCACACACAGTGCTCCTGTTAGTGCCCTAGAACATACGTCTTTGTGCTTTGTGTTTTGTGCTTTATTTGTGTAAAATATCATAACCATGACTCCAAAGAAGGAGTAAAGCTCCTTTACCAGCAGTAAAGCTAGGAGGAAAATATGAGGACCACAATAGAGTTAAAGAAAGAAATTATTGCAAACTTTGTTAAAGTACTGAAAAAATGAATTTTTAAGTGTAGTATTGGGCCTCAGAATCAATTATTTGGTTTTCTATTATTTATTATGGGAAAAATATATCAGTCTCGAACTTTCAGTATTTGAATGTGGAATGAATTGAGTTTGACAACCAAAATGTCACCGTATGTATTTTTAGTTTCTTATAAAATAAAAATTGTGCACCCACAATAATTACAATCATCATGTGCTACAAACATATGCAAATAAATACATAAATAAAATTTTAAAAATAAACCTTTCTCCTTAAAATTGTACATGTCAGATATTTTTGTTCCAAAACCAAACCAAACAAAAAAGCTGACTAGTACACACAGGTAAATGCTTCTGCAAATCAGTACACTAAATACTAAAAATCTGAAATAAAACAGATCAAAAAAGCAAGATACAAAGTCCCAACAGTCAATAAACGTTAATATAGATAATCATTCTAATATTGAAAAATAACATGTAATATATAGATATGAATATATGACCCTAACATACATTCATTTAGAAAAAGAAATACTATTACACTCATCAGCTTGTCAAATATCTCATAGGGCCATTTATTGGCATTACATGGTCAGATTACATGGAAATGGATATACTGATAGAGTACAGTTGCAGAGATAAGTCAATACAACAACTTGAAAGGGAAATTTGATATTTTCAGGAAATACAAATGCAAGCATGTTTTATGCACTGGATATACCACTTCTAGGTATTTACTCCATTGCTTCTTATGCAAATATGCACCAAGAGATATGCACAAGGATTCTTATTTCAGTGATGTTTCAAAGAAGATGGAAGCTGGGCATGGTGGCACACTCCTGTAATTCTAGCATTTAAGAAGCTAAGGCAGAAAGATCATTGCAATTTCAAGACCAACCTGGGGTACAAAGTAAGGTGAAGGCCTGCCTGAACTGCATAGTGAGACCCTGTCTCAAAAAGACAAAAAAAAAAGAAGAAGAAGAAGAAGAAGAAGAAGAAGAAGAAGAAGAAGAAGAAGAAGATAAAAACCAATTTAAAACGCATACCAACATAGAGTAGAAAAATAAAATTATGTACTATCCACATAAGGGTATTCCAATTAGCAACTAAATAGGAATATATCCTACACCTATCAACACAGCTAATTCTCAAAACAGCATTGTTTAGAAATAAAGGAACTTGCATAATGATATGTGCAAAGTAACACAATTTATACCAAGTTTAAAAGTATGTAAAATGGGCCAGGGATTTAGTTCAGTTGCATAAGTACCTGCCTGCCAAGCACGAGGTCATGAGTTCTATCCCCGGTTCAAAAAAAATAGTGTGTAAAACAATACTACATATTTCTTTTACAAATATATATTTATGCTTACAAAAATTTTCTAGCATTAAATGACATTTAGTTATTCACTAAGTTACTCAATTATTTTACATATGCTTGTATTATTTTGTAATATAAATATCTTTTAAACTCACTAAAGTATATTACAGAAAGCAAGGCTGTTGGCTAACAACTAGGTCACAACTAGGTCACTCTAAAGCAAAGCCCAGAGGTGATTTGGATCACACAGAAGAATGGTGGGTGATCAAGGGTGCCGCCTCCTTGGGGCTACTGAAAAGGAAGACAAAGGGCAGAAGATGCCACCCCCAAACTTAGGGTCTGCAATCATAGGTGTACAAATAATCAACAGGAAACTTCAGCTGAAAATATTTTTGTCCCTCTTTCCATAAAAAAAGGGACATATAAACTCAAAACCAACACTCCTGGTCATGAACTGCACTGAAAGTTTTGTAAGAATTTGGCCAGAGGCAATCCATTCCCCAGCAAACAACAGACAGAAGGCTTTAAACCAACACTGCACTTTGGGAGGAGGCAATAATTAGAAGGGATAACTGGACCAAGAGTGGTGTTAAATAGCTTATTCAAAAAGATTCCTGGAGAGCTGAACACCACATATTCAATTTAGAAAGCTAAAAGGATTCTTAGACTCCAAAAATCTTAGGTGAAAATCAGTATGGAAATTCCTCATAAAGCTAAAATTAGAAATTCCCTTGGACCAAGATATTCCCCTTCTATTTATCTTCCCAAAAGAGTTAAAGACATTGTATTCCAGTGACTCATGCATACTCATGTTTATAGCAGTATAATTCATAATCACTAAATCTTAAAAGCAGTGTTTTATATGTCCATAAACAGATGAATGGGTTAAGAAATGTGGTATTTATATGCATTGCAGTACTATTCTGCTGTAAAGGATAAACTTGAGTCATTTGTAGGAATGAGTGCACCTTGAGACCATAATATTAAGTGAAATAGTTAGACATACAGCCTCTAATGTCATATGTTTTCTCTTATACTGCAAGTCTCAGAATTACAAATGACATTACAAATGTTGTAATATAATATTCCTAAATCAGATTCATTCATAAGTCCAGCAAATTGAGTCTTACACAACTTTGACACAAATATTCAATGTAAAGCATAAAAAATTCCAAACACACTAAAAAAAAAAAAAAAAGGTGAACAAACTGCTTTTACTTTTACAAATTACCTTAAAAAGAGAAGGTAGAAACATGAGCTCCTCCTTGATTTATTTGCATTTGCAAATGTTAATAATGTGAAGTCTATTTATATCTGTGAATGTTCACAACTTAAGTATTCATAGGATGAGAACTTACTGTACGAGAAAACCAAAATATAAATAAAGAACAAAATAAAAGATAAATAATAGGAAAGGGGGAGATAAATTTTTTCAAAGTGGAAAGGGACCGAGAGACTTAGGGAGGGGAGATGGACAGGAGGGGAAGGGAATGAAGAAAATAATATCAATGTGTTCAGTACATGCACCAACTCCACACAAGGAATATAATCATTATTTACTGCAAACATGTACAAATAAAAAAACAAAAAAAATAAAAAAGAACCTTCTCAGTTGTCAGAAAATATATGTCCAAAAGTTCACCTGATGCATTGTTTAGCTTCCTAGCAGATGAAGAGCTGACCCATGCACCATGGATGTCATTTGATCCTTTTAACCTTTCATAAAAGTAGTTCTACATCAAACAGACCTGCATTCAAATTCCGATTTTGCATTTGTGGGCTAAGAGGTTTGGGACAAGCTTTTAAGCTCAGTGCACATCAATTTCCTCATCTGTAAAATAGGAATGAGAGTAATGTCTCCTTTGTTGTTTGTCATGCATAAGCCAAATAAAAAGACATGCAGCAGATGGCAATTGCCCGATAAATGTTAGCTGTTATAATTATTACTGACTGTGTTCCAGGGAGAAAAAGTTTAAGTCCAAAGCAGATTCATTCAGT